AAGACAGTATGCAGCCGACTTACTAAAACCATGACTTTATAGTGAAAAAATTGCAATTAGGTATCTATTTATTAAAGGTTAAGTTTTTAACATTGTTTTTAATTTTTTTTTGGTTTACCTATTTGCCTTTAAAATTTCAAATATGTGAAGAATGTTTAAAATCATATTTACCTCAAATGGTATTTGTTGAGAAAATTCCACGAGTTTGTTCCATTCCCTCCCGCTACCATGACTACGCTACAGTGTGACTTTGAATGTAAACGTCAGAATTAAATTATACGTCAGATTTATATAATTTTGACAGAAGTATTTTGCGGGTACCCAAATTGTGTATTTTTAAGGGAAAGTGAGCATTTATAGAGTTTAGCTTAAATAACTTAATTGGAACTACTTTAGGAAAGTAAACGTCAGTTTTTTAATTTTCTAAAAATTAATTAATAATTATCACCACTCGACAAAAAAGTATAATGTTTGCCTCGCGTGGAATCGCAATTACTCCCTCAATGAATTCCTTCACTCGCCTGTCGGCTCGCTCGGAAACTTTCATCAGTAATTGCTATAGCTAAAGCGCCATGATTCCACGCTCGGTAAACAATATACTATTTAATTATGGAAATTGACATGATAATAACATGTTAAATATTTAGAGTATTATTTATTAATTAGAAATAATAATTATAATAAGATTATATTATCTAATAACCTTTCAAATCATTATAATTAATTAAAAATTCATACTATAAAAACTATTTTTAAAGTGGGTTTCTTTAATAATTATTTAACTTCAAATACTTAAATCTTAATCATAATTTAACCAAACATAACATCTGTAATTTAAATATACACATAATATATTTTTTCTACTCCCACCTTTAAAACGCCCTTTATCGTACATGTTGTCATGACACTAAGTTACCTTTTAAATACACATTGACAAGTTGTGGCTTTACGGCGCTTTAGTCACGGGCTGAAGTTAGTTGACAGTTGTCAAATGTCATACAATGGTTAAAATGAAGTGCCTTTCTTGTAAAATAATACTAAATGTGAAAATTATTTTATTATCTCAATACAAAAATAAAAAATATTAAATAGTTTCTCAACGCCAATATTTGAAAAGTTTATATGAACATAGTACTGACCTTTTAATTTCGCCGGCAGTAAACTATAACTTAAATTCGGGCACGGACTCATAAAACATTTCCTTTACTTTCACTGTGAAAAACTGTCAATTTTTAAAATACATTTCGATTTATAACCCTTATAATTGTGTTTATAAAATGTAAAAATGTGACATTTGACAGTTTCCCTGTTGTTTCATAGATGGCGCTCTATACAAATTTTTGATTTAAATCATTTTAAGATAATATTAAGTATTTGTTGTAGAAAAAGTATAGTATGCACCTCGTTTATAAACTTTTCTATACACTCATTAACTTAAGCACTGGCTCGCAAGCTCGCTCGTGCCTAAATTAAATTCGTGTATAAAATGGCGTTTATCAAACTTGATACATAATATACTATTATTTAACTCCCCATTTCATTTCTTAACTTTAACCGGTGTGACAAAATGTTACTTCTCCCACTAGTGGGCAAAATAGCATTTCGTCCACGGCCTGAAGTTAGCTTTAAGTTATATTTGGGAAAAAGTGAAGCTTGACAGCTTTTAGATCAAATAAAAATGGCATTAAATTCTTTGTGTTTGTTGAATAAAATATTGTGTGCGACTATTGGCCAAAAGAGGAGATTCCACTAAAACTCACTTATTTGTTAATGGGGGAAACGTGGGAACAATGTGCCTACGAATTCTTAAAAACCATTCCTTCAGCTAGTGTGCAAAGTCCGATATATTTTTTCGGAACAGATCCCGGGATCCCGGGATTAGTTGCCTTTGGTTCCGAAAGTCCCGGGATTGGAAAAAGGGCTCGGGATTGACACCCTAGTACCTACCTATATCACAAAACATTAAAAACAAATAATTTGTCGATGCAACTTTTATTGTCAACCAATAGGTAAGCCTAATAACTAAATGGAGAGGCCCATTTAACTTAAATTTTAAATTTAATATTATATTGATTTAATATTGTATTGATTATTTAATAAAAATGTATTAAATGATTATAGATAAATTTTGTAATTTACAGTTAAAATAAATTATAAAGTTTTATTTTTACTAGTATGCAATTGTTATGCAGCCAAGTACATTATGAGCATATAAAAGTTGCCTAAACTATAAATAGTTTATAATAAATAAAGAATCTGAAATTTCTTTAATTTAATTTAATATAAATATAATTTTTTATTTATAACAGATTTATATTGTATCAGCCGTTAATATAAATTTTAAATTTATATAATATATATTATGTTTAGACGGTATACCGTTTATATTTAGTTTAATTCGTTTGGAAGTCGGTCTAACAGATGTCACTAATATTCCTAATAAAATATTTTTTCTACTCCTACCTTTAAAACGTCAATTATCGTACATGTTTCCATGATACTAAGAAACCTTTTAAATGCACATTGACAAGTTGTGGCTTTATAGCGCTTTACTCACAGGCTGAAGTTAGCAACAGGTTTTAAGTCACAGGCTGAATTTAGTTTTAAGTTAGTTGATAGTTGTCAAATGTCATACAATCGTTAAAATAAAGTCTCTTTTTTGTAAAATAATAGTAAATGTGAAATTTATTTTATTATCTCAATACAAAAATGCAAAAGTATTAAATAGTTTCTTGACGCCAATATTTAATGATATGAACGTTTGTACTGACCTTTTGATTTTGGCGTAGTAGTGCAGTTAACTAGATTTAACTGATAGAGCGTTAAAAATTTTGCATACAGTGCCCATAAAACATTCTCTTCTCTTTTACTGTGAAAAAGTGCTTTTATATAGATTGGCAGACTCTTTTTAAGGAATACATTTTGATTTACACAGACAAATTTGAGATTTTAACGCCGGTAGATTCCCAAATTAGGAATTCCAATTCCACAACTTTCTTTAACATTTCCCGTGTAAGAATTTTTAATACTTTATGATAATATTTTGCAATTATAATAATAAAAAAATCACAGGACAAAATATTTTCTTAACATTATAATAGTTTAATTATATATATATGTATTAGGGTGTTTCAAAATAAGGCAATATTTTTATTTTTCCAAATTCATGTGAAATTCTTGTCACTTATGCTGAACAAAAAATTCTGTCAAAATTTGAGCTCTTAATATTAATTTTAAAAGGTCCATCATCGAATTTAAAGTTTTTCCATTGATTTAACATGGAAAAATAGTTTTTTAATATTTATTTCGCTTGCATGCTATGTAGAACTTTTTTTTTGATAAACAATCACTGGTCCTTTTTTAGCATTAAATTATCTACAAAAAATATTACAGTCTGTAATATTAATTTTAAAAGGTCATCGTTTAAAATTAATATTAAGAGCTCAAATTTTGACAGAATTTTTTTTAAAGCATAAGTGACGAGAATTTATCATGAATTTGAAAAAAGAAAAATATTGCCTTATTTTGAAACACCCTAATATGTATATATTAATTTTAATATTTTAAAGTATCAATAATTATCAATAATACTTAATTATAATTGTTAAGTTTAATTAAAATAATTACGTGCAATGTTAATGGTGAAAATTAGGTAAAAAATGTTTATTGGGATGGTTACTTTATTTTCGTATAAATGTAGCTTTATATTTAATTTTATTTAATTTAAATAAGTTTTTTAGATAATATTAGGTATGGCACTCATTTAATTAAGCCCTTGCTCGCAAGCTTGCTCGTGCCAAAATTAAATTCGTGACTAAAATGGCGGTTATCAAACTTGATATGTTTAAGCTCAAATTTTACATATTAATAAATTGCGTACCACGTCTGACATATGTGACAGACAGTGCTACTTCCTGAGGGGCCACGTCTGTCATATATGCAAGACACAATATTCACTACCAGGTCGCGTCTTGCAGATATGCTAGACGCTACACGCTTTATCTTTTGGGTTATTAATTTGTGGCCTGCCACGAACATTTTGGTATATTTGGTTCGAGCAAATTCGGAAAATTACTATTTTTTTCGATGATTTATAAGATTTAGCAATAATCGCTCATGGCCCCCTAGGATACTTTCCAAATATACACGTGGCACGCAATGGGTTAATAATCCAAAGAAATACACAATTTGATATTAATTTAAAATATTTTGTTTTATGACAATTTTCCATGCAAAATAATGTTTTTAGTGCGTTGGGTTATTTTTTTACATTAAATTATACCTAAATATAAACATTCCATAATTTGTTATTTTAATAATCTATAAAAACCATAAGTTTTTCTAAATTAAATAATGTTATATTATATAACTTATATAATTAATAATATGATTTAAAATTTAAAAAACCAATTTAATGAAATAAATAGTTTAAACTTAATTTAAATTTTAAATTAAGTTTAAACTATTTATTTCATTACATTGGTTAATCGCAATCGGAAAAGTTTTTTTTAATTAAATTTATTAAATATTTTATTCGATTTGAGCAAATTATAATGATTTTAAGATTTAATCTTTTAACTATAGTTATAGCCGAAAAAATTACATATATGGATCTTGTGGTTTTTTTTAAATTACTGTAGTTTTTATACTTACCTAAAATGGACGTAATGGACCAAGCTATATTTGGAACAACTTGTATTATTAGTTTTTTTTAAGTCAATATAATATAATTAAATAAATGTTTATCAAAAAGGGACCTGTTTAATTAAAAACCCGTGTAAAAAATGCAAAAAAATTATACTTATAGAAAAATGGAATACTTATTATTTTATACTTAGTATGTCATTTGATGTTTGTGGCTCTTAATATATGGAAGCATAAGTTAATATTTAAAAATAATATTTTTAAATATGAACTTATACTATAAAGCTTTGTGCATTATACTACAGAAATTAATTCAAAAATATTGCATTATTTTTAAATGAAATAAAACAAAAACATTATAGAAAAAATAACAGCGTTTATTCACTTCATATTAGCTAGTCATAAATAATTATAGATAATGAAACACACAGTGTGGGTTTATTCCCATTGTTGGTGCTGGTGTCCATAGGATTTTTCGTAAGGCACGTAGACTGGTACCTTAACTGGGTAGGCAACTGGTTTTTCGACTGGGTATGGTACGTGTTTTTCTACTTCGACGGGGTATGGTCTGTCGACTGCCACCTTAACTGGGTATGGTACTGGTCTCTCAACTGGGTACGGGACTGGTTTCTCGACAGGGTATGGGGCTGGTACTGGTACTTTAACTGGGTAAGCTACTGGTTTTTCTACTGGGTAAGGTACAGGTCTGTCTACTGGTACTTTAACTGGGTATGGTACTGGTTTCTCGACTGGGTATCCTACATGTTTGACGACATGAACTGGGTATGGTTGAGGCACATGAACTGGGTATGGCCTGTCTACTGGTACTTTTACTGGGTATGGGATATTCTTGTATACTGGGTAAGGTGCTGGTACATGGACTGGTACTTTAACGGGGTATGGTACTTGTTTTTCAACTGGGTAAGGAGCTGGTACTGGTACTTTGACTGGGTATGGGATGTGTTTTTCGACTGGGTAAGGTTGTGGTACCAATACCTTGACTGGGTATGGCCTGTCTACATGTACTTTAACGGGCACATGGACGATCTTTTCAACTGGGTAGGGTTGTGGTACTGGGTATGGTACTTTAACGTGCACTTTGACTGGGTATGGTACTGGTTTCTCAACTGGGTAGGGTTGGGGAACGGCTACCTTAACTGGGTATGGTACATGTTTCGTTACTGGGTATGGGATGTGTTTTTCGACTGGGTAGGGGATTCCCTTCAAGACGGTGATGGTCTTTTCAACAGCAGTGCTGTGTCCCAAATCGATTGGTCCGTAGTGTCCGTATCCCAAAGAAGATTCTCCCCCAATGGTGTATCCACCATCGAGTCCATGTCCGCCTTGTCCAAGAGAGTATCCGTTGTCAAAGTCTCCACCATATCCGTATCCCAAGGATAATAATCCACGTTTGGTCTGCTTTTTATCTGCATCCTTCTTCTCCTCCGCTGTTACAGCGAGGACTAAGAAACATATCAGTAGCTAAAAAATAAAAAAAACACTGCATCACTACATGATTTTAGTAATAATGATAGAAATATAAATAATTAGGTTATATTATAACAATTACATCCTTTTTAGGGTTTAATTTACGTTGACCAAAATTTTTATAAACATATTTAACATTACACATTACATCTGTATTGCATTGTGTATGTGGTACGTAAATAAGAAGTAAAACTGAAACTGCATATGTTCTCGACTTTCCCTTATTAAACTATACTAATGTTAGCGACGTTATGTAAGAAAATATTTTAATACTATTACCGTAACAAATCAACAACTCGTGTCTGTATACGTATATAAGGACAGCGTTTATTTTGTGCTTAAAAAATCTGTTATAATGGTAGATGCAATCCTTTGTTCGGTTTATCTAAAATTAAATACGTGGAAACAAATTGTCCCTTTTAAAATACTTAAAAACATTATTTATCTTTAACTGCCATTCGACCACCTGTTACACAATAGAAACAATCGAAACCCATGAAGTTGACATTTAGCGAATTTTCAGTCTTTCGTAAGGATTCAATTATAAGTATTCAAAATAAATAAAATGTAGCTAATGAAGAGACCCGTTGCGAATTACGCACTTAAATGAAATGAGTTCAAATTCCTGATCTGTATCACTTTCACTAAGGTGTAATTTATAACTCGCGTTTTCCCATGATGTAATACAAATATCGGTATATCGTTCGATTTTAATTGCCACTCACAATATTGCATTGGTTTTATTATTGCTCAAATGATGGTAATAAATATAAGAATTATGTTTAAGGGTTATACTCATTGCTACTTTAAAATATATGTATATATGTTGCATTGTGTATAATTCTAAAATATTATTATCGTGTGGTTAGAATTCTAGAGTTAACTAGGAAACAAACAAAAAATTAGCTATACCACATAAACCGCAAAGTAGGTAATCATTTGCAGCAGGAAATAATAGTTTGTGTGATAGTAAAAATTTGTATAACATATATGTTATTCCATAATATGCAATTTTAAAAGGAAAATTGTTTACTTGGCTGCCTATGTTATAAACAATTTTTATAATAGTTGGCAATTATTAATTGCGCTAAACAAATTAACCTAATTTACTAGGTTCCAAATTGAATAGTTGAATGTATCTTCTCCCATTGCATACCTAATATTGTTTTTTTTCGCATAAAAGGATAAACATTATAATTCGAATGATTTAAGTCTCTCGTCTGGCGAATGCATTTTTTATCCAAAAATAATATTTTTCCATTATTTTTAAAAATGTATTTAATAAATATGAAAATTATATTCCTGGAGATTATTATAAATTATAACGTTCTTGTCACTTATTTATTTATACTTTTTAATTGGCAAAATTATATAAATTTGTGTGTTTATTTACGCATTGTCTTTTTTTACGCATATAAAATTAAAATATCAGAAAAATGTAATATACTTTAAATTAAAACATAGATATAAGTACTGTGAGGCAACCAAAATAACATACTTATACGTATTCGCATGAGAAAATATTTCATAAAAACCTTTACCATTTCTTTATATAGAAATATAAAAATAACTGCTACAGAACATTTTATTTCAACATAATTTAAAATTTATAATAAAGTATAAAAATGTAACGCTTAATACATATGGTAAATAATTTCTAAACACTTTATTGACCTTCAGATGGTCAATTATAATTATTAGTCCTTATTAAAAGTTTCTTTTACTTATGGAAGTGAAGTAACCTAATGAAAGTGGGTTAATTTAATATTAATTTCAAAATTAAGTGTTTGTCTCACAATATAAAATTGTCCTTTATGTAAACAATCTACATTGGTAGTTGGTAATCTAATATTTAGATAGTAGTACAAAACATAAGTTAGATATCTAGTAATATGGGTTTAAGGTTTCGTTTCCGTAAAATTATAAGATTACGAATTTATTTATTTAACAAGAAAAAAGTGATATATCGTAATATCTGCGAAATTCGCATTTTTAAAGAAGTTTATATATTTTTAAAATTACTTTAGGGTAAAAAATTCTTTTATATTTAAAAAAAAACATTTTAAATTTGGGGCTTAATCTGTTGTTATAAACTAAATTAACTCTAAATTTCTCACATTAAATATTTAATAATTACAAGAATGGCAAAATTTAAACAAATGTATGCCACAAAAACTAAATACTTTTAATACGCCTGATTCAATTAAACCTGAGAATTATTCCATCCCGTCAGGTTTTTAAAAAAATTCTAATAGTAGAAAAAATGTGTTTTGGTGCATCACGAAATATTTCTTTTCCACAAATCTCGTTATGCCATCTTAAAGTACCACTTTTCCACTTTAAAATCTTTTTTGAATTATGAAAAGAAATTAAATTTTCATCCAAACCAAATTCAAGATTTTTCGAAAAGGATAAAAGTTATTAAAAAAATTCAAAAAGGATTTTAAAGAGATAGTCGTACTTTCAGAGAGCGTAACGAGTTTTTTGAAGAAAAAGTACCATGTGTTGTGATATAACCTTAAATAATTAAAAAAAAAAAAATTAACTTTGGGTTAGAATTTCTCGAAAACTGGATCTGAAGTCGGATTTCTGTTATGCACCTGTGAAATTTTTTACCTGCGGTAAACCAGATGATGATTGCGGTTTTAAATTAAACTAAGCGATAAAACCTTACAAAAAATACTATTAATATGTTATTATACTTTTCTAATCATATTAAAAATTTGTACATTTCCTATACGTTTTCATTTAAGAAAGTGGCTTTAACTTTTGAAAAAATATCTTTCTCTACGGTTACTGTCCTATGAGACGGTAGTATTTATCATTACTATAAAGATTATAAGGAGCACAATCCACACAACAAGGTATGTTCGATCTCGTATACGTAGTACTATAGTAAAAATTCTAAAAATCACTGCAACACTGCACACCATACGATGGCGGCCATTTTTGTTGTTTACAATTCTTGTGCTTTGGGTTTGTACAGATTAATAATCGTTTTAAACGTTGTGTTTTTTACAGAGAGACTTGCAAGCCTTAAAAGAGACCTCAAAGTGGTAAGAACAATTTTACTCCTCTTTTGTAAAAAATAAACCTTCTTTCAAATGTCAATTTGGAGGTTAATTTGTGGGTTATGAAATAACCTTAAATTAACCTTCAAATTGACATGTGACAGAACAAGGTTTATTTTTAACAAAAGAGGAGTAAAATAATTGTCATGTCACATTTTTTTATATATTCGTATGTCTCCTCAGTCGATTTATGAAGTATTGTTTAAACAATTTACTTGATTTTTCAGTAATCTTATCTACTGATTAACCTACATTTTTAAAAAGTTGTTTTTTTAGTAAATAGATTAAAAAAACAAATGTTAATATAAAAAACATGGACTATAGTCCAACCCATGATTTGTTTAAAAATACACTGAAATAATTGCGGTAAATATTAATAAAAAACAAAGAAATCTGAACAATGCAACTTGTATTTATAAATTTCTACTAAATAATCAAAATGTTAACAAGGGAAAGCAAATTAATACGAAAAAAGTAAAATATATTTTTTCGCAACCCATTAGTTGCAAAATTGAGTACTTATTCAGTAAAATTTCGCAAGTAACATTAAAATGCATTGCAAATACTTTTATACTTTTTCTCAAGTTTACATTCCCGATGTGCAGTGGCAATACGATTGATATGTAAATAAGTTTACATATCGGTCTGTTACTTATAACTTTTATTATAATGGTTTCATTAAGAGTTGACAACGTCAATTATGATTATGGAAATGTGTAATGCTTTTTATTGTGAATGAATTACGTTTACGAATGTAGTAAAACGGAGACAATTATAGTAGTACGTGTTTGTTTACAATTATATTTTGTTTTACTATTTATTAATTCTTGTATCTATTGATTTATTTATTTATAAATAAGTTATTTTAAAAATAGAGTCAAGCATGGAAAGTTAATATCTTAATCTGCTTTAAATATTTCTCCCATTATACTAATTATAATAAATTTAAAGTTTATAGAATTTAAAGCATTATAAATATTCTATGCAGATTTTAATTTGCTAAACAATTGAATATTTTAGTTTTAATAGAGATATTGTTAAAATAATGAATGTAAAATTATTTAATGATTTCAACAACGAAATCTAACAATAATTTAGGTTTTTTTTATTAAAATATTTTAAATTTAAAATTATAATAAGTATGACAAATATTTAGTTTTTATAATTATTAATTTAACTCTAATATTCTTTAATTGTTTTTAATAATTTTAAATAATAAAATAGAAAGTTTTGATAAATAACAAAAATAGTTTTTTTAAGAAAAGGCTTGTAAAAATTAAACTTCAGAATAATAATGAATATGAAATATAAAAAATAAGAAATAATATTTATAAAATTATAAACAAAATGGTTTTAGTAAATTTAGAATATTTTTGGTAAATTTAAATGATATTTCGGTAAATTTTTATACATTTAAAAAATTTTTAATAATAATTTAATAAAAAATGTATACGATAAAACAATAAAATTGAAATATTGAAAATGTTAATTTGGAATTAAAAAATTGCCGTAAAGCAATAAAAATGTAAATATCAACAAAAATACAAAAAATGTTTTAAATTAAAAAGTTTATTCAAATTAAAATAAATTTGATTTAATTATCAAAAGAAAATGTAAATTAATTGTTTGATTTTTCTAAAATGTTACTTTAGCAAAAAATATTGAAAATTTTTAAGAAAATGTTCCAAAATAAAAATAAAAAATTAACTAAAATTAAAACATTTATGTAAAATTTTGTAGATATTTAGTCGATATGCGTAATGAGAAGTAATCCATGTTATGCACAATAATCACAAAAGCACGAAAGCACTGTATCACTGGAACTCACCAATGGTTTCATTATCGTTTTCATGAGAGAATCAAAGGTTGAACTGTATGCCGAATGAAGACCTTCGGTTACTTTTATAGCCAGTTCTTACTTTCGCTAAACAACCAATTCACCTCTATATACATTGATACATAATATTGTGCAAATTGTCTCCCCCTTGTTAGCAGTAGTTGCCCCATATATCGCTGAGAAAGTCATTTTTGGAAGAATCAAGTATATGAGGTCATATAACTATTTTACGTAATTTCTCGGCTATGCGCCTGTTTCTGGTGTTCTTTGGACGTAAATATTTTGTTACTTCACACGCAGAGATGAAAGTTTTCCGGCCTTAAACTTGTTGTTGATAATGAATATTCCACTATCTAATACTAATTCAACGAGATCATTTATTTGCATAATACACAATCCGTTATGCATTGCGAGAACTAATTTACCATTAACCCAATAATTCTAGACAATTTTATATGTTAATTTCCAAAAAAGAAAACCATGTTCAAGTGTAATTAGAATAATGAAACATTTAGTTTAAGCTTAATTATTTTTGGAATATTTTAAAAATGTCCTAAATTTGCGTCTGAAATAATCCTAAAAGTGGTCAAAGAAGAATATTTTCTATTGAAAATCAGACGCAAAAACAAAAGGTCTGAACAGAACCAAAAACATTCACGCTGCTGACCTAATCAGAAATAAATATATCCAACCAACCAATCACAGCTCAGTCACGTGACATTGAGATGGCACATAGGGTTCGCAATCCCGAAATCACAAAAATACCGGGATGACGTCTAAGTTGTCCCTAAGTGCCAACTTATATGAAGCCCTAAGGGTAAGGATTGCTCAGCGCAAAACTTATTGCTCAGATATTATCCGCTATTTGCACAATCCCAATGATAAAGAATCAGATGCTCTGTTCGATATTCTAAACAAAAAAATTATTAGAGAATTGCTTGAAAAACTTATAAAACGTTTACAAAAAAAAAATGTTTCTTTTCAAGAAGACGATGACGAGGATAAAATTTCTAATTCAGCCATGCTACTGCTCCAGCCTCAAATTGAAACTAACAAATCATTGACAAAAAACGCAATGAACACAATAAAAATGCGCCCTCAAACCGATTTGGTAACATCAAATCTAAAAAAAGAAATGTCGCTTTTTGAAAATGGGGGAAGCAGGGATGCATTCCTTAAGCTGAAATATGATTTCTTAATGTCCCCACTAGTGTGGAGTCGGAACGGACGTTTTCGGAAGCAGAAACCCTATGTACAAAAATTAGATCCCGACTTGGGGATAATACCCTAATTACAATAAAATTAAATAAACTAATTTTTCTGCTGTATTGGTTTAGCCGCTGAACACCTAGGAATATTTTTTGGTTTAAATTTTCTTTTATTAATAACTACGGTTTGTATGTTTCCTTTTAGTTTTTAATATCAATCTTGAAATCCCGGTATTCCCGGGATTGTTAAATATCGATATCATAATCCCGGGATTATATTTCCTCTTCGAGATTGCAAACCCTAATGGCACACTTAATTCACTTAATTTGCACTTCAATTAAATTTACTAATTTATAAATTTTTCGTTTTTCGATTCGTTCTATTTTCTACAAAATTTAAAGCTTTTGTCAATTGTTGTTATAATATAACATATATTATATTTACTTTTATGTAATGTTTTGAATTTTTAGCAAATCACAATTTTTCAATATTTGAGGTTCTTGGTAGGCTCCATCAACAAACAGGTCTTAAAAGTCGATTTTTTAAATTCTTAAAAGTATTTTGATCACGATGGCTAATTCAGGCGTGAGTTTAAAGTACTTAATTTATTAACAGATTATTTTGCTCTCCTTAAAAATCTGATTAGAGAAACAGTTTTGGTTTTGACCGAGATCTTCTCATTTGCTTTTAATATGTCTGAAATTTAAACCGAAAAATCAAAAGAACAAGTTTTAGTCCAGTCAATCTGTACGAATTTTAGAAAAAAATTGACCTATGTTTCAAAAGATATGTGAAAAATGAAGTGAAGTAGGTTCCAGCCACAGACCACCTGTGGCTCTGTGGTTCCTGCAGTGTTGGAGCTTTCTTATGAGCCCCAAACGAGGGGTAAACACTTTAAAATCAACGTTATGTGGACGTTGTGATTTTTTGCTTATCAGTCGTTAATAAGAAAAAATTCTTATCAATAGGAAATTTCTCTTAGCGACGCGTTAATTCATATACGATTTTTAATTTTAAAAAATCAGTGTTTTACCCTTGGCCTTAAAGGATTCATGCAAAACAAATTGTCAGACACAGATTGACAGTGCTATTCTAGAAATGATCTTAATACCTATATATAGGGTGTCCCAAAATGGCTGACTTACGCAAAACCAAGAAAAAATAATTAATTTTTTACTACAAGAACTTTTTCAGTTATAAGCATTTTGTAAAGTTGTTTGTTTTGTGATGCTTAGTAGAAAGGAATTGAACACGAAGTATGTAAAACTTAACTCTTTATTCAGTTAACTGCTGAATAATACAATGACTTAAATGGTAGCTTAATTATTTAACAATATTCCTTTCTAGAGCGGCTGTACTAGCCTGACTGACTATATTAAAAGAAATCATCCCTCGGTAAGCCCTTGGGGGAGGAGCTTTAAGTGGCGCATGCCGCTTGAGGCGCTTAAGGCACTTATATTGAAAATTTACAAACATACCGCCCACCTTGAAAGGAGGCCTTTCAATGAATTATTAGTGTTTGTTGTAACTAAGTTCGAGGAAGGTCCATGATTGGCACTACTTGATTCTGGATTGATGTCATTTAAATTACGTGTACCTGTTCGATCTGTGTGTAAACAAGTATTGTGCCTGCGACCACATTTTCTACAGTTACTAGATTTACAATCGATAGATTTATGACCTGGCTTAAGGCAGTTAATACAAAGCCCCTTAGCTTTGACAAACTCCAGGCGATTTGCTGGCGCCAAATGTATTAGTTCTTTACAATTGTAAGTAGGATGAGTGCCCTTACAGATGGTACATGTTGTATTTGAGACGTAAAAATTCTTAGAGGTAGTTTTAATGGATTTAAAGTTATTTTTATTAGGGGTAGATTTATGACCTAAAGAATCTAGCAAATCGCACTTGTTGAGTAAGAATGTTTTTAAGTCATTGTATTATTCAGCAGTTAACTGAATAAAGAGTTAAGTTTTACATACTTCGTGTTCAATTCCTTTCTACTAAGCATCACAAAACAAACAACTTTACATTGGTCCTTCGAGCCGGATATATACATATCCAAAGCAAACTTCGCATACATACACAACGAGTTTTAAGTGCAGCGAACATTCATTTCGTATCAAACGTGGAATACATCGAGCGCTAAGTGCAGCGTACATTCATTTCGTATCATACGTGGAATACATCATACATATCGAGTGCTAAGTGCAGCGTACATTCATTTCGCATCATACGTGGAATACATCATACACATCGAGTGCTAAGTGCAGCGTACATTCATTTCATATAATACGTGAAATATATCATACACATCGAGTGCTAAGTGCAGCACTGCATCTACACATACGCATTGGAATAAAACATCATCGTCGTATAGGATATCCCATACGAGTCAGAAAGTGAGTACCTTCCTTTACATACTATTTTCCTTTACATAAGTCAGTATTGATTCGCAATCAACATGTCAGAGTTAAGTAACTTAACGCGAAAACGCGGTAGTCTCAAAACTAAATTTACGAACTTTTCGAAATATTTAAAATCAGTGGAAGATGAACTGAAAAATAGAATTTCTACTGCTACTGATACAGGTAGCATCGCGTTATCGGAAGGCACTATAGCCGCTGTTAAAGAAACATTAAAGCGCATAACAACGGCATTTTCTGAGTTTGAACAAATTCAGGATGAAATTGAGCAATTAGTAATTGGGGACGATAACCTCCCCGAGCAATATGCGTACCGAGCCGATATCGATAGCACTTACCTTGATTTATATAGCCGATCACAAGAAATCGTTCTCGTACATAGTCCCAAACAAATTTTACCTAGTGATAGCAGTAGCAACGGCGAACCGCCGGGCTCAAACGTATTTGATCTAAGTAGTACGCGGTCAAGTTTCTTAAAATTGCCAACGATTCCATTGCCTATATTCGACGGTACTTTGCTAGACTGGTTAGAGTATCGTGAAACCTTTAACTCATTAATTAATAATAATTCTAAACTAGATCCCATTGAAAAATTCCACTATTTAAAATCATCAGTTTTAAAAACACCTAAGGAGATAATAGAAGGTATAGCGTTTACAGCTGATAATTATACCCTAGCTTGGGATTTAATCTGCGATCGCTTTAATAATAATAGGCGTCTCATTGATTCACACGTAGAAGCTCTTTGTAATTTGCAACCTCCTCAAAATGAATCAGCCTATTTATTAAGAAAGGTTCTTGATGGCATGAATAAAAATCTGCGTGCGTTAAAATTATTAGGTCAGCCTACTGAACACTGGGACACATTAGTGGTATATCTCATTTCGCGTAAATTCGACGAAAAAACATTTAGGGCTTGGGAAGAATACAAAGCAGAGCGTCCATCAACGACAATTAATGACTTAAAAACATTCTTACTCAACAAGTGCGATTTGCTAGATTCTTTAGGTCATAAATCTACCCCTAATAAAAATAACTTTAAATCCATTAAAACTACCTCTAAGAATTTTTACGTCTCAAATACAACATGTACCATCTGTAAGGGCACTCATCCTACTTACAATTGTAAAGAACTAATACATTTGGCGCCAGCAAATCGCCTGGAGTTTGTCAAAGCTAAGGGGCTTTGTATTAACTGCCTTAAGCCAGGTCATAAATCTATCGATTGTAAATCTAGTAACTGTAGAAAATGTGGTCGCAGGCACAATACTTGTTTACACACAGATCGAACAGGTACACGTAATTTAAATGACATCAATCCAGAATCAAGTAGTGCCAATCATGGACCTTCCTCGAACTTAGTTACAACAAACACTAGTAATTCATTTCATCAAGCTTTCAATGTTCAAAC